TGAGGCAAAATAATAAAAAATGTCATTTTAAATCACAGTTTGTACAAGAATGTATAAACAGAATCCAGTGATAAATATACTCTCCACCTTCAAACTAAAGTAAGAAAAACTGATATTCTCCAAGTATTACTTCATCCTGGTCTATTTATCGTAGATTAAATGGGCTACTAATTTCGTTTTGGCATTTTGCGTTGATTCACTTTTCAAACTGTTACCACCAAATATTGCAGCTCTGTGTTGTATTTAAAGAAATTAAACAATGAAGAATCTGCATAAATGTATGTATAGTTCTCGCATTGTAATAAAACAACGGTACCTAGAGCCATCAAATTTTGAATAAAGTAATCGTTTACCGAATATGGGCATCTGAAAGTCCTAATTTGGAATTTGGAATTTGTTTTATTATGTATTTAACATTTTGTCAGACATTAAAGAATTTTGATTTATACGGTATTTCTCCCGCCTTGTTAGCGTGCCTTCGTAGTGTAGTGGTCTCCACGCTGGACGCGTATTTCAGAGGTCCTTGGTTCGATTGCCGGCGAAAGCGTTGCTCATTTTTCACATCTCCTGCTTCCAAAAACTCCTGAAGTCTCTACAGTGGCGCCCGAACTAAAAGGGTGATGGATGATGACTCTCCACACCCAAAATCTGGCGATTGGGTCCTCTGAAAACCCCAGTCGCCCTTTAAAAGAGGGAGTATATAAGGTATTTCTCCCGCCTTCTTAGCGTGCCTTCGGGGTGGTGTTCTGCACTCTGGGAGCCTATTCCAGAGCGTCTTGGTTCGATTCCCGGCGAAGGCGTTGCTCATTTTTCCCGTTTCCTGCTTCCAAAAAATACCTGTCTCTACAGATTAACAAACTCAACGATTTCAAAGCGAGGAATGGCAACACTGTAAGAAAAAAAAAATCTTTTTCTCTCTAACTCGTGCCACTGTGTATCCGAAGTTCGAAACATATACTCATTTTAAAGTTATTTTGCGATACTGCTGTTGAACTGAAATTTTGTGGTTTAAATGCGAAGAATGTGATATTTAATGGATAAAGGCAACACATAAAATGTTAAAAAAAAACGCTCTTTGGACGTAATTTAAAACCTGAAACCTTTCAGATTTTTAGTCCAAAGGTACTTTATCCCTGAAGGACTATTGTTTTCGTTTTGCAATTTTCCGTTGAATCACTATGAACGGCGAATCCCTTTTCTAACTGTTGCCACCAAATGTTAGAGTCTTGCATTATATTTGAAGAAATTAAGTAATCTGCATAAATGTATGCATATTTCTAGCAGTGTGATAAAACAACGGTACATAGAGCCATCGAATTTTGAATGCCGTAATCTCCTACGAATATGGGCATGTGGAAAGACCAAATCTGAAATTTGGAATTTGTTTTATTATCGTTTTCATATTTTGTAAAACTTTAACGAATTTTTCAGTAACAAACTTAACGATTTAAAAGTGAGCAATGGTAACACTTTACGGGAAGGGGACCTTTTTATTTTTAGCCCGCGGAACTGTGTACCGGAAATTCTAAAGATATGCTCATTTTAAAATTATTTTGCGCCATTGTTATTGAACTGAATTTTATGGTTTAAGTGCAAAGAACACAATATTTAATAAAGACAGGTAGCACACAAAGCGTTAAAAATACGCCTCTTTGGACTAATTTAAAATCTGAAACCTTTCAAATTAAAAAAAAATTTTTTTATTTATTTATTTATTTTTTTTTTTATTATTATTTATTTATTTGTTTTCCGAGTTCAGACTTGACCACAATGGAAAGGAGCAACATGATAACAGTCTTTTGTGTTGAGAATTAATACTGTGAAATCACATTAAATTTATCTTTCGTGGAATGGCAACTAAATGTTTTGCTTACTTTCGAATTTTTCACGGCAGTTGAATAAAGATGTGAGTATGTTATAGCTCTGTTTTTATATTTAACTTAATCTAACATCGTAGTATGTAAAACAGGCGAATAAGAAGTTTTATTATTTTAGGGCCATTTTGCTATATTTCGAGCGTAAAATAAGTTACGAAATAACTCTGCAGTGACAGAAAAATCCGAATTCGGCGATATGATTCTTAGCATGGACACCCTGAACAGTAACCATAACAACAACGAATTAATGACTAGAGCTTATGAGTTTGATCCTCGCTGCATAGACCATGCAGAAAAATCGGACTTTTCATCATACTCTCATTTCTTGCATGCGATGATCTCCGCTATGCCGAAAAAAAAAAACTTTCCGTTTCTGATCAGAATAATCAAATGTGACGGCAAGTGGTTACACGGTAATCATCGCTTATATATAGATGTCGATGATGCCTCAAATCACAAGCCGAAAATTAATCTTCATCTGAAAAAGACAATGGGATTGTCTGATGGTTCACAACTTGTATCCAATTGCTTGGAGTGTTTGTTCTTATTTTCACTCGGAATAGAATTATGCTTTTTGTTAATATATTTATTATTTTTAATTTCTTTGTTGATTTAAACAGTATAAATGCAATGCGCTAATTTTCCTAAGCTATTAATTTTAATGAACGTGTACGAAGTGTATATTCATTTGAAATATCCTATAACTACATACGTATGTAATAAGCATAATTAGCCTATCATAGGTCTGTTACTTTTGTTTACTATTTGGGCCATTTATACACCATTTCTAGTGTTTCTTTTCAGAAAACGGGCCAAAAAAAATTATAAAATTATGTTAATTATTCTTTTCACATAAAACACTTTTTGCTTTCCAGTATACAATATAATTGCGGTCTATAAAAAAGTCATAAAAGTAAAATAACAAGAAAAACAAGATACACAGTTCACATAAGAAGCAGCAGTCTAAAACTATGATGAAAGAAAACAGATTGAATTACAGTTAAACATTTAACACGAACTTGCTTAAAGTCAACACTCGGTTAACGTCAACAAAATTTCGGCACCGGCAGCAATGTATATGATCTTACAGCAAGTTTTATTGGTTAGCGTGAATTTCAGTTAGCGGAATTACGAACTGTCCATTGCGCTATTACAGTTTTTAATCTAACACGAACTTTGAAGGTTTTTCACATTTTTTCCTCTCTTGTTTCTCTGCTAATGCTGCATTCATAAATGTTCCCTCCCGTTTCATTGAAAATCTCTCGAAATCATGGATCATTTATTTACACAACTACAAAGAGAGTTTTAACCAGTACTCACGAAATACACTGTATTTTTTAAATATATAGCCAACACGAGTAGCATTGCTCGACAATCGCGATCATTGCGTCAACAATGGGCTTCGATCACGTTAAAAGTGGGCTTCAGTCATCAAATACAGTTTTGTGTTCAGACTTTTTTTATTTATTAACGTTTAGCTAGTACGAATAATGTTAAATCTTGACTAATTCCGAATTAATCAGGTAAAATTACGTACATATCTTCATCTACTTGTCACCAGCGCGAGTTAGTATCTTCTCTCCCTTCTGAAACTTAATAGGACACAGAAGGACATAATAAATTAATAATTTCAGCTAAAATTTAAATGAATTGCATTTGTAATAAAATATTTACATAAATAAACTGGTGTCCAGTTTAATTATAGATGAATTTTCACAGCACTTCAATATTCTCCGAAAGTTCTAGAGGCACCATTAGACAGACCTGTAGATGACACTCTGATAGCTTTCAGGACGCGAGAATTAACGTTAAGTAAGAGATTGATTCATGACCAAGAGAAAGAAAACAGGCACACATCTGCAAACAAAACAAAATCCTAGAGGATGAAGACCATGGTGCATTGCAGAAAAGGGCAATTGCCGAAAATTATAGAATTGCCACATCTAATTCATCCAGAATGCTTAAAGATCGTAAAAAAAAATTCTTATTGCTGCTACATCTAGTTCCAGGAGCAAATCTAAGCGATTTTGCTGTGCTAAGTTGAAACTTTAGTTCTAGAGTAGTTCAGTCATAGCGCGTTTACGATATACCTTTAAGTGGACTTATAGTTCAGTCAAAAGCAAACGAGATTAGAAAAATTAGACATTCTTAGATTTCAGTTGGTCCACTCGTTGGCTGTACCGGTTTCAAAAGAGACACTCGATTTCGTCATTTAGTGATACAGCAAATAAAGTTGATGCTGAAGGAGCAAACAACAGGTTGCATGAATTTGACCAAGTGAGAAAAAGGTATGCCTCATGTGATATCTACAGTATGAACAAAACTACATTTTTGCACAATCTTTTCACAAGTCGCGCCTTCGGAATAAAAGGTGACAAGTGCGATGGTGAAGCACGCATTTGCGTCTGAGATGCAAGAAATATCATCAGAAGATAGTGAAGAGGGCTATATCATTCCACCCACCTGCCAGAAAATGTTACTCGCTTTGGACACTTCCAGAAAGTTTTGTTGTAGCATCTAAATTGACTGCTTACTTAATGGAAGCCAGTTTTACGGCCACGGCCATGGAATTGGCTGTAAAATTGCCAGGTATTTTCTTTCTCGTCTGTGTCAGCGCAATATACAGGAATTTTTCACCAGAAAATGACCTGTGAATGAATTTTTTCAAGTTACTGTACAAAACTTAATGTAGTACTATAGTGTTTTCCACGTTGACATACATGATATATTGTAGTTCTTATGTAAGTATATCCTGTAAATGGTTAATGTATAGAGAAAACTGTTCCAAAATTAAAATTTGAGTTCCCGGTTAACACGAATTAGTACGATTTTTTTTTTTAACACGAGCTCTTGATTGCTCGGTCCCTTGAGATTCGTGTTAATGAGGGTTTACTGAATTTGTATGCACACATATACATACATGCTCTTAACTGAATAAATTACCTGCGTTTCATCTTAACTGATTTATCTGACTATTTTATAATTATAAAAATACAAGATATCTTTTTTCTTTTTTACTTTTTTTCCCTTTACAAATATTGTTTAAACTTTTGAAAGTGAATGCCATTTTTTGTCTATTGAGTGTATTTACATAGGTTACTGATTAGATTCTTTCTACCAAAGCGGCCCCGTAGACTATTGCTGGAAAATACTCCCACCAAAGGAAAATGAAACAAATTTGTCTTGCATCGAGCCTGTGTCTGCCAATGAATGTTCTTTTCCTATCATTTACTACTTCCACGAATCTGGTGATTATATGCTCGCTATTTACGTGGATAATTTAGTCTCTTCTGTGCAAAGGAATATTGAAATTCACATATATGACGGTAAAATTCCTGCGTTATTTTTTATTATATTCGCATTTGATATATTCACAAAATTATAGTAATTTTTATCGAAATATTTCTTTTTTTTTTTTTTTTTCCATTTTGCAGTGTCACTGAGACCTCAGTTATCAACAGTTATTATACCAGTTGTCTGCACCGTACTTGTCGTACTAATAATAGCAGGAGCTGTAGTCGTCCATTTACGCCGGCAAACCAGTTACGATGTCGAAACAGCAGACTTCGACTTTATGACACCAGATGAGCCTAATGTGATTGCCATTGAAACATCATGGGAAATAATGCGCCGTTCATTGCTTCAACTTCTGCAAATGCGAAGTTTTTACTGTACGTCAGATGGAGCAACACTTACGAATTATGGAACCATTTTGAGAACGCAGGAGGAAATTAATACTAATAGCGCTCCGCTGAATGAATAAAAATGTAAATGCTACATTGTTTTTACTTCCTTGTTTTTTATTTATGAAATGCACTGTTTCCAGTTTTATTGGGATCATCACCCTCTCGTTTGAATTAATTTTTGAAAAGTTTGTGTAGGTATACATTTATATAACTTAAATGATATATTTTTATTAGTTATGTAAATAATTATATTAAAAACAATCGATTTATTTAACTTATTTTTCGAAAATTTAGTAATGCAAATAATAAGCATCGCATATTGCATATGAGTGCAAATAATAACATCGAATTTGTTTTTAGTAAAAGATAGATTCACATGCGTCATATGATTGTAATAATAATAGTAATGATAAATTATCATTGAAATAATAATAATAATAATGTTTCAGTATCTACAGACAATTAAACGAATAAGCTTGATATGGCATTAATAGCTTATCACTATTATGATTAAGATTTATCGATAGAATTCATAAATCACCACTGCTTGTTTTATAATATTTTAGTAAAATTTTTGTGAATGTTGCTCTTTTGAACCCTAAAGCCTTCTGCATTATAATGTTGCCTAAAACATATTGTGTAATTCAACTCTCATTATGAAAAATTTTGTATAAAAAATCATTATAAAACATTCTGAAAAAGTATAATTTTTTTAAAATTTATTTACTTCAGAACTAGGACTTAATGAAATTAGTTGTCAATAAATCTTTTTTATATTGTTATCAAGGTGTTGTTTATTAATTTGTATATAAAAGATTTCGAAAAAATAGTGTTACGTGCGTACAGGTTCGTAACATATTGAACGCACACAGAAATATTGAAAGCTTGATGAAAATTATTTCACACAAAAAAAAAAAAAAAAAAAAAAAAAAAAAAAAACACAAAAATATTTGTTTCCTATACAGGTTCGTATCATCAAAGCGGTGGTTCAGTGATCATAGCTTATCATTATGTCAAATTTTCAAATTCATAATAATAAAATTAATTTAATTAATAATCAACATATCACAATCTGATGATCTCACACATCTCTCCGCTGTCAAATCTCACATTAACCTCCGCGAATACACACAATAACTCTCTTAGCGCCCTCTCGCGGTAAGTGGGTTTATCCGTTCTCCCCACTTTTAAATAAAATTATATTAAACTAAATATTTAATCATTAAAACAATTAAAATATATAAAATAAAATAAAATTTATTCAAGTTCATATTAGTCACAGTCCGCGAATGGCAACGGAACAACTCTAGATGGCTCTCCGAAGAACACCTGCATAGGTCTTAACAATTCTGACCAGTCCGTCATGACCAAGATACAGTTCTTGGATGCGAGCATCCATGAAGAGAAGAAAAATTGAATAAGAAGATTGTAGAATGATTGTAGGATTGAAAATTAATGTAAAATTGAAGAAGAGATTGTAGTTGGAGTCCTTCAACAGTACCAGCTGATGAATCTTGAAGTTGGGTTATGAAATGTTCTATTTAGGACGAGAAGTTGATTCAGATATCCTGAATGCCATTGATTCTAAAAATTTAGCTTGGAATCATTGAATCAGTTCCCACTTGGGATGCAAAGAAAGAGAATCCAAAGCAGTAATTTCTTCAGGAAAGGGTAATATAGCATTTCCTGTCAAAAAATGTCCCGAAGTTTAAAGATTGTAAGTCATTTGGATCGAAAGCGGTGATAATGGGCGGGAATTCGAAACAGCTTTTATTTGAGTTGGCTCAAAATTCATGATAACTGATCTTGTTTCCCTTAACAAAATCCGTTAAACTGATTTTTTGTTATTATGTTACAAAATTGATCTATTGAGAGTGTTAAATAAGACTGAAGTATTCTGCTCTCTCTGAATTTCCCACAATCCGCCAAAATGTGGAAAAGCCGGCGAGATAATGTTCCAATGGATGCTTTCTTCTGCACTAAATCTTTGAATTGGGTTAGATTTGCGTATTTAATTCCATGCTTTGCTAATGTTTCTCGCACCTTTGAAATTCGTAGCATTGTCGCTCCAGATGACGGGTGGTTTGAATCTTCTTGCAATATGTCGTCGTAAACATGCTAGAAAGGCTTCTGTTGTTAAATCAGAAACAAAACTTCTAAGTACGTGGCCTTCGTGCAAACACAAATAAGTAAAGCAGTATAAGATTTAAAAGTCACTTTTGATCTTTTCAAATTAGGTTTCGTGATTATGAGTCAAAATCTAATCACGCAAAATCTAATCAAACCTTTTCGGAAGGTCTGGAAGGCACGATTCTGTCTCTATGTAGATCACCATCATCTGATTTATCGTTTGATTCTTCGTTCGAAAGGAAGTGATGTACTTATTTAGTACCCTTCTAACTCGATCCTGATCAGACGATGTCCAATATGACTGTCTTATTAAAGGTAGTTTGTATATCAGAATACGTGGATTTTCTGTGATAATATTCAATAATTGAATCAGCGAAATGGTGAGCTTTTGACAAGAGTGTTTGATGTTTCTGAAATTAAGGAAGAGCAGAACACTTCAATCCCATTCCTACTCTTAATAGATCATATTTTGTCAAGAAATATGTTCAAAGACCATATTTTACTATTCTTTAAAATGGATTTTTTATTTCTTAAGCACTTTATTTCCGTTCGAAATTCGGTTGATTGCATGAGTTTTACTAAAACTCCAATATCATGTCTTAATTCAGAAGCACAGATGAAGTCTGTTCTTAACTCTTGATTCACTTTATAATTATTTACAAATCTTAAAAATAAAGCAATTATCCTAATTAATTTACTGAATGAGATAGCTCCTAACTAATTTATTGAATGAAACCTAATTAATTTACTGAATGAGACAGCTTGTCATCCGCTCGTTTTCAGTTTGGCTATTTTCAACTGTTGCCTTTACAACAACTGATTTCTTAAACTCTTAACTAATCGATATCTATCTAGGATGGCTGTGTTGTATGCATTGTCAACCAACAGGGTCTGTGCTTCCAGAATTGGTTACTCTTAAGCTCAGTTAAAAATAAACCCTTAGAAATCAAATCGGCGGGATTATTCTTTCCTATACAATGACTCCATTCCTTTAGATTGCTGTACTTCCGTATTTCTTTCATTCTATTCTTCACGAACACCTTATATCTATTTGAATCGCCCTTGATCCAGTAGTAAGCTATTGACGAATCTGTCCAAAAGTATCGAGTAACAGGAAAACATAGTGCAGTTACAATTATATTGCTCATTCTTGCACACAAAAGTGCACCCGTCAGCTCCAATCTAGGAATCGAAAGGATTTTCAATGTAGCTACCTTGTCTTTCGATGCTACAAACCTAGAAATAATATTTCCACCTTTTATTTCTATGCATAAGTAAACAACAGTACCACAGGTCTTCTTAAACCCTTATCACATACACGATATTTGTTGCCGGAACAAAACGTTTGGGTGGAACAGTTCTGAGAAACGCTCTTTGGCGAAATAGGGTTACCATCTTCATTTGGTAAACAGGCTGAAAGCCAAACAAGAATCAGTTATCGTTCAGATTGGCGAAAGTGACGTTTCCTTTCAAGTGACGTTTGCTTCTTCGTGTTGTTTTGTATCGCTCACACTCTTTTCGTTTTAAACTTTATTGTTAGTAATGAAAGATAATAGAAAGGGGATTGCTATCAAGTTAATCACTTTGATCTCCACTCTGGCACTTCAAGTAACAGATAAACACACTTCTGGTTATAGCAATCAATTACATCAGTAATAGCCAAATTCTGTATACACTAAGAATAGTTTAAAACGTGGGCTGGATTAGTCTATTTATCAGACATTACTTATGTGTATTTTCTGTTGTCTGCATTCCAATGAAAATTTGATGGCTCATTGGAAAATTTGTGACCTGGTGAAAGCATTTTCTTGACTAACTTTATGGCTCATAATTACTGTTCTGTCCATTCAAACAAGCAAACAAACAAACAAAACAAAAAAGACCTTCTATGACAAAAATCTATACGGCTGATATTTACATCCTCACAGCCAGCAGATACTATTTAGCAAAATGAAGATCAAATAAAGCATATGAATACATGAGCAATCAAACATGTGCGAGTTGCTTACTGTCACATAGAACACTCGGTAATATACCTAAAACACATTAATTATACCAACTATAAAAATTAGGTGGTGCACATCATGAGTTTGTTTTATGTGATTACGGCAAAGCCTCGAGGGATATCTGCCTAACAGGAGGGGATTTTTTAAAACTGGCTCGTATATCAGTTACAAATGGGGAAAACCAAGAAAACGCCCATGTAGCCAGCCTGTTCGCGGCATTCTAACTTGAGACAGAGCTACCGGTGTTCAACGACGCTTCGGCCACTAGTAAGTCCGTGCACTTAATTGGAAAGTACAATTCATTATGTAAACAGACATGAAAGTCATAATCAGTTGAGCACTGTTTTAATTAATCAAATGTTATAAATGCACAGTTGTTACATTTCTTATTATTTATTAGTCATGTTTATGTTACGTAGGTCATACATATGATATAATTATGAATTAACCCAATAACAAAATGTGTACACTCTTTAGCACTCAAATGCTCATCAATTATTTTTCAACTGATTATTACATATCCGTAATAATTTCAAAGAACTTGATGACTACAATTGCTTGCCCATTACATGAGCATCATTATATGAATTAAAAGTAACTTCAAATAAACCTTTCTGGCAATGTTCATTTTTGTATTCATACATACATATATCCTATAATATTCCACACATCTATAAGTCATATATTTACATACAGATAGAGAAAGGCGATGGTTTAGGAAATGTTAATATACATTTATTAGTATTAATGTAATGAATAAGATTTATATTAATGAATGTATATACAAATGTTTTTCATCATGCATAATAATAAATCCATAAATTTCCAATGTTTCAATATGTAGCATTTACAATAAAAGTATAGTTTCTATTGTATTTATAATCCAAAAATTATTTCATTAATAACATGAAAATAATAGACAAATTTAATGATTATTCTCATTATTACATAAGCTATGCTTTTCTTTTTTATGCATCTTTTATGCTGTTTAGAATGTGTCATTGATTATGCAATTAACAATTTAAAAGATAAGTAATTAGGAGAAAAGCCGCGCATATACAAACGGATTTTAAAAAATTATTCAACTTAAATTTAAGAAATAAAATTCTATTATATAACAGTGATAATACACGATCAGCACGAAATACGACAAATTTGGCGAACTTTTGGCGACGAACAATTTGTAAACAAATCCGAACTGCAAGAACGTCGTAAAATACTGTCAACTCTGAAATTTCCATGATTATATATTTAATTAATATATAAGCATTTTAAAAATGACTTAGGCAGTTATATTACAACAAAACAGCAATAATTAAATCGGCCACTATTTCCACCGTCCATGACTTCACAGTGAGAGCCATCGCCATATTGAAAGTTACCCGTGATCCTTCAGAAGCAGAACTTTCGTCTGATTGGTTGAACTTTCGAGGAACACGTCTCCAGCCGGAACATTTTCGGAAAAGTTTTAAAATGTTGCTCGTAGCCGAGGCATGTTCCTCCTAGCTAGACGAAACATTTCTCCGTAGCCTCCCGCTTAAAGCAGTGCTACTAGAAGCTCGTTTTTCGGAATTGTCCCGCATATCCGCGCGCGTCTCTAGAATAGATAGCCTCTTTAGATGCATCTCAAATGAGTGTAATTAAAT